TTTTTTTTTTTTTTTTTTTGAAGAGAACCAAATGAAAAAATAGAGCAACATGGAGATTCCACAGAGTGCAGTTACATCCTTTATTATGCCTGAAGTGGCAGCACATCCTGCTTTCTGGGATCCTGGGCAGTGTATGAGCCCCTCTCTTGTATAGGATATGGTAATATCTTCCCCTTCATCTCTCCCAGCCCACTTATTATCTGCATATTTGCCGGCAGCTGGTGTTTTCTCAGATTCTTTAGTAATTCCAGGGCAGAGCTGCTCTGATATTTGATGAATGCACATTCGTGCTTTGGAAGCATTAGCTTAGTCCATTAACCTTACAGAATGCTGGCAAGGACAGAGATGACGGGAAATCATTTCTGACTGGACCTTTACATTTGCAGAACATAGTGATTTCCCCTGCATTTTTTCAGAGTGGTTTTGTGAGGGGTCTTTTTAGAAGCCTGGCGCCCTGGGCCTGTCAGCCCAAGCGGTGCCATTTGAGGGCTAAATGGGTGCCCAGTGGACCTTTGTTCATCTTTGCCAGGAATTTAGGGCTGTCTTGTCTGAGATCTGGCTTGCCAGCTCCTCTCAGAGCTGTCAGGAAGATGCTACATCTCTGTGGGAAGCTGTGGGCTTTCTTTGCAGGGAGTCGGCCTCTGCCCTGTACTCTCATTTTGTGGTAAAAACTGCCACTTTGTGCCATGCCAGAGGACAGCAGCCTCACTCTGCACGGTCCTAAGGGCTCGCCGGCTCTGGGTGACGTCCGTCTCAGGGCTGTCCAAGCCCTCATCTCATTGAGCCTGAAGTCAGGCTTCAGGTGCAAGGTTAGCAGGAGGAGTCCCTAAAGGAGTGGCCCAGTATCTTTCCAGATTTCTAGTCAAAAATTTATGCATTTTTTTTTCCTACCATGCTTATATTCAGAGTAAGTATCCACTTCCTGATGTTCTGGATAAACTAGATATTGACTCACATCCAGAAATATACTTTGTGTTAGTTAAGAAAGACTTTGTTACTTGGCATCTTTAGCCGGCTGTGCCCTGGCAAATCTGAAAGCATGACTGATGGGCATTTAGGGACAGGTTACGTTTGGTGGGCACTGCGTCCTGCTGCCTACCCTTCCTGGGTGTCAGACCAATTCTGTGACAGTTCATGGAAAGTCATGTGTTCGAGGGAGATGCTGTGTCCTTACCATTGTTCCACAAATACTGATTTTACTCTTTATTTTATATTTCATAAACATAAAACTAAATCAGCTACCTCTTCATGTAGTTTATGTAAAGAAGTTAAGAATAATTTATAGAAGAGAGGAAAATTGAGAGACACTGACCTTTACTGTCTTCTTGTAAAATGCTGTTTCATAATCAGTGCTGGGAACACTGTGCCCTGAAGGAGTGCCAGAGCAGAGCCCGGAACCCTGCTTCCCCTCCTGGACATTTCTTTCCCCATGTAAATGTTTACTTGGGTCCAGAGTTCTGCTTTGTCTCATAAAGATGCGTTGTTCCTACTGCATAGTGCATGTGAGCTGGAAAAGCTCCAAAAGATGAAAACCCAGACTTTCTCCCTCACCCACAGATCCTGAAGTCCACCCACAGAGTGAGGACTACTGGGGTCACGTGAACCCTATTGGGCCCCGGGCCTGCTATGACGAGGGCAAGCGGGTGGCAGAGACCATGTGCTACGCCTACATGAAGCAGGTGCGTGCAGGTGGGCAAGGCACTGCGCGGTGGAGCCATTGTTACCTGGGTGAGGTCGGGGTGAGAGGAGCCTGTTGCCCACTGTGACGGGGACAGCCTTGTGGACAGCTTTCCCGTGTGTCAGTGTCCCTGTGTTGACGAGGTATTCTGGAGGTAGCTCCGAATGTTGGGGGTCCACCGGCATAGCAGGCACTCTGAGTGTTCTCTTCCTCATTGTCATGTGCCCCTAGCCCCTAGTAAGGGCCTGGTTTCCTGAAGCTGTGAAAGCATTGGGGTTTTTACTTTTGGATGGTCTGTTAAGTATAAAAATGAGTTCAGTAGTGCACGAATGTGGCTTCATCAGGAACGAACTCATACTGATTAACTCCCGGTTTCCCACCGTCCTCACCCTTCCTCCTCAGCTTGTGCCACTGTGTAGCTATCCCCCCACCCCCTGTGGGCTACAGCGGAGCTGAGCACAGACCTAGAGGCCCCAGTCCCCACACTGGCTCTGCCACCGGATGTGTGACCTGAGGACAGGGCCTACTGTCCGGAGATTTTGTCCTCGGGCCATGCAGCAAGACAGGGCCCTGCAGACTCAGGCGGGTACCAGCCGTGGGTCCTCCTCCCCATGTGGCTGGTGCATGGGGCAGAACCCAGAGCTCTGGGAAATGCCCTCTGTCACAGTGGGACATGCAGGGAAAAGGGTGTGGGCACGGCACAAACATGTCGCAGCTGTGTTGTCAGTCCGTGGGCCAGCCTGCTGGCCAGGTGGATATGGGGTCATGGCATCTGTCTGTGGCCTGTGTGGAGCCCAGGTCCCCGGCCCCTGATGTCAGCACATCCATGTCACCACCTTTTGAGTGGAGCTGAGCTGTGCACTGCCTCATCTCAGGGGAGGCATGTCCGATACCCTCAGGAAAGGCTGTGGATGCCCAGTGGTGCTGCTGTTAATGTGGACCTCACTGCCAGAGGTAGACCCTTTGCCTCTTAGCCTGAGCTTGGACTGTGTGTTGATGCCTGTACTCCACACATTCTTAAGAAAAGATGCAGCATTATTGTTTTCAAGCCCAGAATACCTTGTCTCAGAAGTACGGGTGTCGTCTGGGACATGCAGGAACAGCTCTTTGTGGGGTTGGCTGGGGCAAGGGCAAAGGCAGAGGTGCCAGTGTGGGGTATGCAAAAGTGTCAGGAGTAGCTCATCCCTCTCTTGTTCATGTCTGCTTCTGGTCTTACGCTTGCGCTTCTGACATCATGAATCTTTACATAAATAAGCTGGTGGGCACGTGAGGATGATTTTGCACTTTTTATTACATGATAAATAGTGCAGTTAGCTGATAACTTTGTAGGTATGCATGTTACCTTAAGTGTGTGCTCAGAAGCAGCGGGGCCAGTGCTTACCAAGCACTTGCCTGTGCCAGGCCTGCTCAAGGTATCTGGACACATTTGAGTCCATGTAGGTCCCATGCCAGGTCATGAGGGTGGCTTGGAACAGTCCTCCCAAGGCCCAGTCCGAGGAGACCCATGTTCCTTTGTGTCCTGTAGCTTCTGTGTCTCTCCTTGCTTTCTGGGTGGCCTCAACTCACCTGTGCTTACCACAAAACCACAGCTCATCCGACCCTTTTCCCCCACCCTTCCTGCAGGGTGTGGAGATGAGCAAATGCCACATGGCTGTTGGTGGGGGCAGCTGGGTCAGTGTCCTTGCCGCTTTTTAGGGAGGAATGATTATCCCATATCTGTTCCTTGGGTCCTAAGGGGTAGCCAAACTTGTCTGTGTAGACCAGGCACCCACCCTGAGTTCCCGGAACCTGCTGGTGCATCTGGCAGCCTGGAGGAGGATGAGGCTGCTATGGGCAGAGCACAGCTGGGGCTGGGGGTCACAAGACCCTGTTGGACACTGGGCTGAGTTTTACTAGAACCCATTGTTGGTTTATCAGATAGGGCGGAGGGGCTGAGAGTGGGAGAAGCTTCAGGAATGTCGGGATGCCCTGTTCCCAGGTAAAGTGCTCATTTTCTCCTTTCCAGCTTCAAACATTTATTCAATCCCAAGTGATAAACTTGCAGGATAGATCCCATGAAAGAGGTTCTGTAAGAGGATTCAGAGCATGAGCCCACTTGGTAAAGTGGATATTTTTTGCACAGAAATTGATAGAAACAAGTTTCCCTGGCACAGCCACTGTTTTGCAGCTTCTCTATCAGAGCTGGGGCAGTGGTCTCTGCTGCAATTTGGGACGACTGACTTTCTTTGCTAGGACTCTGCGGTTTCTCAGGTGATTTCTGCTGAGCTTGTAATAGGATCAGAACACAAAGCTGTTTTCTTTCTGGAATGAAAGGCAAAGCTTTCGGTTGCACCTCCCACGCAGGGCACTGTAGATGCAGCCTGAGAAGAGGAGCAGCCCCCGCCCCTCCCTCGGTCTCCTGCCCCACATGCAACCCTGCACCCTACCCTGCCCCATACCTCACCACCTCTTCTCTCTGTTGCAGGAGGGCGTGGAGGTGCGTGTGGCCAGGATCTTCAACACCTTTGGTCCACGTATGCACATGAATGACGGGCGGGTGGTCAGCAACTTCATCCTCCAGGCGCTCCAGGGCGAGCCCCTCACGGTGGGTGCCAGTATGGGCCAGGGCCTCCTGCGGCCCACATCAGGGTTGCCTGCAAGTAGGAAGGGTGCCTGAGTCTGGACTCACATGAGGTCACACTTCACCCCACCTGCCTTGTCAGAGTAGAGAGAGGAGGACAGTCACGGGGACAGCCCAGTGGAGCACAGCAGTGCCGCCCTGTGATTGCTGCACTGATTGCCTGCATAACACCGCCACACACACATTGTTCCCCCAAGGCTTCCTTGGCCTGTTGGCTCAGGGACCCTAGGGTGGCTGAGAAATGCATTACCTGGTGAGATGAGCTGGACCCAGGTGAGTCCAGGCCCGGCACCCAGCCCCTTCCTCTTCCTGTGGCTGGAGTCAGCAGGTGGGTATGCAGAGTGCAGGGTATCTGTGCTCTGCTGGCCCCACCTACCCGTGGGGCTCTGTCCCCATCCAAGATCAGAAGTCTGGCTAGGTATCTTCCATGTTGCAGGCCCCTCATGTGTCTTATTCCCTACTCCTTTTACTCTGGACCCCCAGTCCTGTCCCTGTCTGCCTTGGCATCTTATAACCTCATTGGACTTTGGTGGGATCCAGAGGAGATCAGCATCTCTCCCTCTGGGGATCCTGCATGATGCTTTGTGTGGTGACTGAGCCTGTTTTGGTGAGAAGCTCCTCAGCTCAGATGGGGTCCTAGCAGGTGCACACATGCCACTGGGCCATCACACTGTCCTTATCTGCCCGTGTATCTGTCCGTCCTTAGCTTGCCATACTGTTCCATGGTCATTCAGTCTATTAACTCAGTTCATGCCACTGCAGATCTGTGGCCTTGAAGGACCTTGCCCCTGCCTTCTGGGGAAGGGACTGAAGAGCAGAGGTGGATGCAGTACCTGAATTCCGTGGCTGTACTGGCACCCTTGGTGGGTGAAGGCCGTATGTGTTCCACTCCCAGTTTTCTTTTTTTCTAGTATTCCTTGTTTAGCGAATAAAAATCAGTGCACAGAAATTGCCTCCATGTCAGTCTAGGCACATCTGTTATGATGGAATTTTTGTAAGCTTTGAAGACTGCACATAGTTGTTGACTTAGAGCAGTGAGCCTCAGAGCAGGGCCCTGGCATCAGCAGTGTGAGGGGCTCCTGCTGAGCTGTAGAAAAGGTGTGCTCATGTTTGAACAGGCCACGATCCCATCAGCCCTTCGGTTTCCAGGTATGCCACTCTGAGCCTTGGCTGCACACTGGGGTCATTTTAGGAGCTTAAAAGTCATGACACCTGGTTCCACCTGCTTCAGTTAAGCAAGGCCCAGGGGGCACTTGGGCTGTGGTCATTTTAGAAGGCTACCAGGGCACTCCTGTGCAGCCCAGACTGAGAAACACAGAGGGGTGGCCAGCAGCCTCCTCACTGCCCCAGGTCCACAGGACTCTGTCTACTGTCCCTAGCTTTTAAGGGCTGGGAAGGGGATTACTAAGGCAATTGCCAGCCTGCACCCATCCCCACCTGGGCTCCTAGAGGCGCTCTGGTCCTCACCCCACCTGAATCACCTGGCCCTTAGCTGTGGAAGGTGCAGGCCTGTGTCCTAATGGGCTGCAGGTAGAGAACCCCACAGCACACCTAACCCTGTGTGTGTGGAGGGGTGCCATCCAGCCAGCCTCTTATCCCAGTCCCCAGAACCCCAGGCAGTGCCCCCGTCACACTGGGAGGCTGAATCCTCTGCTGCTGCCTCAAGGAACCTTCTCTCTGCTGGGCGTGACCTTGACGTGCACTATACATCCCGGCCTTGTCCCTGTCCTCCCAGGCTTCTGTTTCCAGGTCACCCCCTGGGTTTCCCTGTGCCATTCCCTTGACAGTGTGGTATCTCCAAGCCTCACTGTTGGTTTCCTTCCAGGTGTACGGGTCTGGGTCACAGACAAGGGCATTCCAGTATGTCAGGTAAGGCTGGCCAGGCCCTGGCTGCATTGGGACCTCAGGGTACAGCTCTGCATCTGTGTGTGTTAGTTATCTCTGTTGGTGTTAACGTTACGATGGGAGACTCCTGCTGTTCTCTGTTGAAAAGTTAAAATGAGATTTCATTCCCATCACTCTGACTCCTGAGCTGTCCTGTGCTGCCACCTAGTGTTGGGCGGGTGGAGTTGCCCGGCCCCTGGGGTGATGGGATTTCACATGAAGGGACACTTTCATCCCTCAACAGTTTAAACATGGTCTCTGATCATGAGTGAGCGAGTCCTGGGAAGGAACAAGATAAGGCTGTGTACCGATGTTGAGTTTGGGGCTAAAACTAAATGCAGAGAAATAAGTTCCCTAGAAGTTTTACATGGTGATTTTACTGTGTTCTTGCCAATGGTTGTGAGCCTGCCTGGCTTTTGTTGGCCTGTGCAGTGGATGATTAATGTAGAGTGCAGGATGGATTCTGAGAAGAGTCACAGTATAAGGAGTTAAGTAGCAAAGTCCTGGCCAGTGCAGCACCACTGGCATGGGGTATAAGTTGAAGCAGTGGTAAACCCAGTTCTGTCCTTTGACCATGTGTATTTTTGCTCTTTAAGGCAAATATCCTCAAATGCCTATCCATCAAGAAATTTTTGTGGTACCTGGGGGCCACCCCAGGGTGCTGGGGGGCAGCCCCACCTCCATCCGAAGCACCCCATGGACCTTGTACCACAGGTCAGTGCCTGGGTAGGCATCTTTGAGGACACTGGAATTGGATTTAAAAATTATAACCACCACCATTGATTTTTCCTGAAAACAGTTACAGTTTCTTACATTTGTTCCAAAAGACAGCTGTGAATAAATGTATATCACAGTCAGAAATATTTTCTCTCCAACTATTAGTAACGTTGGGAACAAGGCAAAAGCCTATAAATGAAGTACCACAGGCCCACATGTTGCTTGAACAGGCAAACTTGTCCTGAACAGCAGCTTCTGGGGACCTGTGGCAGCCTCTCTTTGGAGACCAAGCTGGGGTTGCAGCTCAGAGAGCTCCCTTGGGCCCAGTCCACAGTGAGGCTGCATCACAGGCTCCTTGCTCTGCATCTGTTTTGCACAGTGATACAGCTCATCTGCACTCCCTTAGCTCTCCTTCCCCAGGCGGGCTCCTTCCTGGGGTCTCAGTGGCAGCTGCTGGGCCCTGGCCCCTGTTCAGTGAATGTGAGTCTTTGAGGGAGAGCAGTGTGACTGTGCCTCCTCCTTGCTGCTCACATTATTTCAAAGGCTCCACATCCAAAAGTCACTGAAATAGCCTCAGATAACTTTTTGGAACCCAGAGTAACAAGTATTATAAGAACTCAGTGGTGCCTGTGCTGCATACTGTCCCAGCTTGGGACTTAACATGCCACCAGCTGGGCTGCCCTGACAGTGAGGCTTGTACCCTGGCTGCTGTCACATCCATGCTGTCTCCCAGGCCACAGACACAGGGCAGAGGGCCTAAGTAGCACCTCAAGAAGCACAGGTACAAACCCCTGTGGAAATCCCTCTGTGACCTGCCAGAAACCTCCTCTGAAGGGGTCCAGGGGAGGCAATGAGCCTTCAGGATAGTACCACTTTGTGGGCCAGTTATTCAGGCCCCAGATGAGATCATAAACTGACCACGGTTTTGCTCTTTTTAACAAGCTACTGTTTTAGGAACTAAGAATCACGTCAGTAAAAATGCTTGACATCTGGATGGTAGTTTCAGTACTAAATTAACTGTTCCTCAAGCTGAGACGGCAGGCAGGAACGCAGAGCCCTCTGTGGCCATCCCCATTGACATCTTGGCATGCCTGTCAGATTTCCACATCAGGGTGTCTCCTCATTCACATAACAAACGCATGCTGTATTCTTTTAAAAAGTCACTTTGTCAAAATGACACTTTTAAAGAGCCTCAGGTTAAACGAGAGTGATCTCTACAATTCTGACCTTAAAAGTTGCCAGCTCATTGTATAAGAGATGCCTGGCCGTCTAGCCCTCCAATGACAACTGCTTTGTGGCAGCTGTCTCCCGACTTAGTGTGCTCCACACCCTGGCTTCAGTGTGCAACCTGTTGTGGATGCTACCAAAGGGCAGCTTTTAATGTCTGCAGCTGTGTGCAGCCAAAGCCCTAAGAGAAGGCTGTGTACTGGAACGTGCACTGCCATGGCGATGAAGTGACTTTTTGCAGAGCTCATCCGAGATCAGCGATGATTGGCATTTGCACTTGACCTTGAGAACAGCACATTGAGCATGTTCATATATAGTACCCATGTGTTAAAAATGAAAAAGTAGAAATGACTTTTTCACCCCACCCTCCAAAACAGAGTAACGTGTGACCCGGGGCTTTCATCTAGTTCACTATGACCCTTAGTCACCTGCTCCTCCCTGGTAATGATGGTACGAGGAGGGAGGTTTCCACTTGGACTACTTTGGGTCACCGGGACAGAACTTAAGTCTCTGAGATGTGGAGCTGATGAGCAAGAGCCTCAGGACAAGTACTTGTGATCAGCAGTGAGGTGTCATTTTTATGAAGTAACTTTTTCTTAACAGAGCCACACTTAAAAGCTTCTGAAACTAAGAACCAAACCTTGGTAAGCGACAGTTTGCTTACTTCTCTTCACCTTCATGGCCCAGCTGATCACGACCCATCTGCCGCATCAGATCCCGACAGCTCCATCCGGGTTTTCTGGGCAGCAGGTGAAGGCTGGGGAGCAGGGAGCCGTGTCCCACTGAGTCCAGCACCCATATTGTTTGGCCTCATCTGTGATTTGCCAGTATGGGGATCGCATACTGGGCCCCATTCATCTCAGTGAATCTTATATTTTAAAATAATCACCTGTTTCCATACCGGTCAGCGAATTGAGGTGCATATCAAGCGTGGGCTTCCATCGGGTGCTTCTGAGGCGCCATCTCTCTGGGTGTGTGCCTCTTTGAACCCATCTCTGGTTTGTGATTGAGCCTTTAGCAGTGCAGAGTTGCAGCTCAGCCCACGCCACCACCATCCTGTGTCACAGTCTCCACCCTGCACCAAACGCAAATCCCAGAGGTCACTGGTATCATTTCATCCACAAAAACCTTAGTATCATCAGCACCATGTTGAGTTGCAGGATGTTATTTTGCCATTCAGCTTTCCATTCGGGCTTTGTTTGGGGACGGACGGCTATGAGCTTCCTTCCGGGAGGGCTGTTGCCTGGCTCTCAAGGGCCTTGCAGTGGGGCACCTCACTACCCCCTTCTCTTCCAGTGACCTGGTAAATGGGCTGGTGGCGCTCATGAACAGCAATGTCAGCAGCCCTGTCAACCTGGTGAGTGGCCACCCTTGGTCTCCGGGGACAGCAGAGGGGCTCTGCTTGTGATATAGCTGGGGTGGAGGTGCTGCCTTTCCTTATTCTTATAACCAGAAACTGTCTTCCACAGGGGAATCCAGAAGAACACACAATCCTGGAATTTGCTCAGTTGATCAAAACCCTTGTTGGTAAGTAGGGTGGATACTTGTTGAATCAAACTGTCTGCACGTAGCTGCCCACTGACAGCACCATGGCCAGAAAGTGGTAGGTCAAAGCAGATGACCCTAGGTGGCCCTAGGTCAAAGCAGATCTTGTCACCAGGAGCACTAATTGCTTTCTAATTTTCTAATTAAGAGAGACAGAAATGGGTGGGTTGCATCTTGTTCATTTCCTATCTTGGGCCTGTGAGCCATGGGAGGTAGAGTTCTTGGCCTCTGACAGTGACTGTGTCAGGTGGCCCTGTACCTCAACAGTCACTTGATTTGACTTCCAAATGCTGGTCTTGGTGAGGCTAGAATTTCAGAGAACAGAAGAGAGCAGCCCGTAGGTTTCTATCAAGTCTGAAACAATTCATTGTTTGGCCGGGCTGGGTCATGGGTGCTATGTGACTGTGGGGCAGCCCCTGTCCAGCCACACTCAGCCAGGAATTCACAGGGACCTGCTCTCCTTCTCTCCCTTGCATGGGGCCTCTAATCTGGGACTGATGGGAAGTTTACATTTAGGACGCACTAGCTCAGCCTGATGGGGTGGTGGAGTGACCTGTGAGGACTGTGCAGACCTGGGGGTGGAATCGCCATGGTGTCAGACCAGCCCTATCCTGCAGGATGACAGAGGCCATGTCTCATCCGGTCTGTAGCAGTGGCAGCATCTTGTGGTGTCAGCCCCTCCAGATATGGTCCTTAGTTATGCACTAGGGTCTCTCTCTCCCACCCCAGTGAGGCAGGACTGCTCAAGTCCTGTGCTGTGGCCTCAGTCACTGGGCTCCAGGCTGAACCCACCCACCCATCTTGACATCATGGAGCTTCATAGACACCGCCTGTGTCTTGTTCATGCCATGAAGGGAGTTTGCTATGTGACAGTGTGAAAACCCAGGCAAGTGGTCCATATTTTCTCTCACCTTCTGTCTTGTTACTCAAAATGACTCAGGTAGCGGGAGTGAAATCCAGTTTCTCTCTGAAGCCCAGGATGACCCGCAGAAGAGAAAGCCGGATATCAAGAAGGCAAAGCTGATGTTGGGTTGGGAGCCTGTGGTGAGTGGGGGTCCTGACCAGCAAGCCCTGCCCTCAGAGGACCCAGACAGGTGTAGGGCTTGCTGCATGCCCTGAAGTGCTTCTCCAGTGCCCTGTACCCATCCTGGTGCTAGGAGATGGCTAGGACTGCCAGGGCCACTCTTCAGGGCCACACGCTGGCTCCATTGTGAAGGTGGTGGCCGAGGGGTACAGGCACTGACTAGGCATCCCCAACTGGAGGGGAGTGAGACCGATGCCCACCTCCTGTGTCCTAGCTGAGTGGACCTGTCTCCCTCCCAGCAGCCTCATCCTCTCTGCAAGGTGCTGCATAGCCCTATTCCCTTCCTGCAGAGCCAGGACAGGCCCACCGTGGTGTCCATTGCTGCATCTGTATCTCCTCCTTGTCCACCCATGCCTTCTGAGTGTGGGCTCATGCTCAGAGTGGAAACGAGGGTGCCGGGTGGACGTGTGGTGTCCTGGGTGTAGACAGTAGGTGCTGCCGCCCCCCTGCCTGGTGTAGTCAGAGGCAAGGACACACCCAGAGCTCACCTGGGCCTGAAAGTGCACAGCACAGTGACCTCAGTAAAGAGGCCCTGAGGTTTTGGAGTCAGCACCTCTCTACACTGGTGGCCAAGCCCAGGGCCTGCCCAGGGCAGGGAAATGTGCAGAATGAAGTGAGATGCAGCAGGCACAGGTCAGGCAGGCTGCTGTGGGTAGGGTTTGCTGTGGCTCCTTGGTCGATAGATCCTGAATTGTTAGCAAAATACGTGGAACACAGCTCATGAATATCCACTTCACGAGAAACACAGAGCATCTGCTAGATGAGCTGTGCTGGCTGGGTATCGGGGCACAGGGCGTCTCGCCTCTGTACTCATTGCTGGTACCCATTCCTGAGAAACATTTAAGGGTGTCTGAGCCAGAGATATAGATACCTTCCACTAACCTGTGTGTGTGTGTGTGTGTGTGTGTGTGTGTGTGTGAACAGCAGCTTGCTGAGGTGTGACAGCCATTCTTATTGCATGGCCCATTCCAAACTGGATTGTTTGGGTTTTCTTGCTTCTGAACTGTTGAGTTCCTTACATGTTCAGCTGCTGCCCCTTCTGGGTGTCCATGAGTAAATGTCCCCTTCCCATGCACAGCTCGTGTCCTCTCCTGTGACCATGCCCGTGGCTAAGCAGATTTCCTGAAATCCTGTCTGCATGCTTTTGTCCCCTGTGCTCGGGTCTCATCTGCACTCACAGAGCATGACCAGCACACAGCACACCACCCACACTGCCGGTTTGATGTGTTTGACACCAGTGCTGCCATCTCCACAATTGAGACGGACCCTTCCATCCAGCAGTTCCTGTAGCCATTGGCCGTGCCCCAGCCAGTGTTCCTTTCATGCTTTGTGGGGGGTGGGGGTGGGGATTGAACCTAGGGCCTTTACACTGAACTCCATCCCCAGCCCTCTTCTATTTTTATTTTGAGTCAGAGTCTTACTAAGTCGCTAAATTGCCCAGGCTTGGACTTTGACTTTGCCTCAGCGTCCCTTAATACCAGGATTTCACCTCTTTATACTTTGAATCGGCAGCTTGGTTGACCCGTTTGCTTTCTGCGGAAGGCAGCTCCAGGGTACGACTGCTTTCAATGTAGTGGAGTTTGTCGAGGGCCACTTAGGCTGGTGGGGGTGTAGAGTGTAGTGGACTGTCCAGGAAATGCAGAGGACTGATGTCTCGGGAAGGGCCACACTGTGGTCTGGTGCCATGGCCTTTGGAAGTGTCCACCCTTCACCACTTAGAACATTCCCTTTGAAAGGATGGGGCCCTGTGCATGATTTTTACAGGGATCTTCCTGATTGAGACAGTGCAGGGCTTCTCAGGGACTGGAGCTCATGTCATGCCAGGCACTGTGTGTTCTAAAAGCAGCTTCCAGGCCTGCGGCTTGGGGATGGGGTGGTCTCCTGAGCATCGTGAGGTTTCGTGGATCCCAGAGGAGCCAAAGTCTCGAGCCAGCATTTTGCTGTCGCCTCCCCCTGCAGCTGCGCGCATGTGCCCAGGTGACTATGTCTGCTCTCTCTGTCCCCAGGTCCCGCTGGAGGAAGGTCTAAACAAAGCCATCCACTACTTCCGCAAAGAGCTGGAGTACCAGGCAAACAACCAGTATATCCCAAAGCCCAAGCCTGCCAGGATCAAGAAAGGCCGGATGCGCCGGGCCCGCTGAGTCCCGCCAGCCACTAGCCCTGGGTGCATTTAAAGGACACGGACTCAAGTTTTGTTTTTTGTTAAAGACTTAAAACAGGTGTCATGAAGAACAAACTGGTATTTGGTTCCGAAGCTTGCTTTAAAGACACATATGTGCCTAAAAGCTCCCTCAGAAACTGCGGACTCTGCCTTGCACTTTTTGAATCTTTTTATGTAAAATAGCCTAGGTGCATCTTTGCATATTTTCAAGTTTTTCATTTTGCTGTGAGCCTGTGTCATGACTGTCATTGACAGTTTTGTTTTCTGGTTTCTTTGTGAAGCTGAAAAGGAACATTAAATGGGAAGAAAATGCTGATTTTATTTATAAAAATGGGTACTTAATAAATGAGACATTATTTTATGCATCAAGAAGAAAAACCAGCAGTATTGTCAGGTGGGCGACATGGCATCATTCATTTTCAGACAGGTAATGAAGTCCGTTGGAGAGCTTTGTGTTACTTTTTTAATTCAGAATTTTTCCAAGGTCTAGTTTTTAGTTGCAAACTTGACTTTGAAATATTTCTGTTGGTCAGCACGGTCAAGGATATTTGAAATCACTACTATGTTATGCTGCATAATTGGGGGTGAGAGGGACAAAGTTAAAATATTCTTGGTTAACCGTGGAAAAAATATGCTATTTTAATAAAATATTGAGATTTTTCCAGTCACAGGCTTTCAAGGATTGCCTCTCTGCCTCATGTAAGACTTTGTTGGAGAATTTAGTTTAAGAAAGTTCTGGAAACATCTTGTTTGAGCCATATGCAGTTTGACATGTGACCCCAAAACTGTTTGTCTTACTTGGGCTGAATCTGTGTCCCTGATCTGAAACACGGGGTCGGAGGTATTTTAGAGCTCAAGAGTTCTTTGGCTTAGCGGGGAGTATTTGCATAGACTCTACTGGTTGAGGATCCCTAATTCTGAAATCTGAAATACTCTGAAATTTTGAGTGTCACATCACCACTCAAAAATGTTCAGATTTTGGATTTTTGGGATGGTTTTTATTTTTTTATTTCGCTTTGTTTTGAGACAGTCTCACTGTATAGTGCAGGTGACCTTGAATTCAGTATGTTGTCCAGGCTGGCCTCAAACATGCTGCAATCCTCCTGCCTCAGCCTCAGAAATGTTGTATTAGATGGTGTGGTTGTTTGACCTGTGTTATTTGTGTGAAGTGCTCAGATCTCCCTGGGGCCAGAATCCTTCCCTTTCCTGCAGCACAGGCCACATGAGCAAAGGGCGGCCGTTTTTCTTGTGTGGAGTGGAGCCTCACGGAATGACTTGTTTCCAGGAAGACTTCCAAGGCCTGGTGCCAAGGGCTTATTTTTCTGTTCATAGTAAATGGAAGAAAACTGTGCAGTCAGATGAAGGAGTGCATTGTCCGAGTCCCTGGGTCTGCATCTCAGCAGTGTATGCTTGACTGGCTCCAGGGCACAGTGTGGACGAGGCAGCCAAGGTGCCGACACTGCTGGTCATGAGACCAGATATCTTTCATAGTCACCTTGGTAGTTTTTTGAATTGGAGTTATTTTCAAATCTGTCTCGGGCTAGCCAAGGATGTGGTGGTGGTTTTGTTTCTTTGCTAAGCAGAATTCTCCAAATGAGCAGAGAAGACTTGGCTCTTCCTGGCCCAGTGATGGGCCAGTGAGTCCATCGGAGGGTATTTCTAGACAGGATATGGAAAGAGCCATGTGGGTGCTTAGGGCTGCCTGCAGTTGATT